GTTTGGAAACCCTAAGTTTAAATTTAAAGAAAGTCAAGAAAAAATATTGGGGAGATAAGTTTAGTTGCGGGTTTTCACGTTAGTGTGAAGTGAAGAATGGAGAAGAGGGACTCACACCTATATATAGAATCAGACATGTGTATGTGCATATATGCAGGTTTATAGTAAAACGAATATTTAAAAATCAATAGAATATGTGGGGACGCTGCTTTTTACGAAGTAATATTAATACTATCATTTAATCAAATGGGGTTTCCTTGCCTGTTTATGTTTGTTTTCAATTACAAAATACTACAATGATACCTATCAAGTTTCTACTTTCTACTTTCTACAAAGAATTGTTTTAATCACTATTTAATTTTTACTTACATAACACATGCTTGCTCTATGTAGAATCTGTGTGAATAATTAATTGAATCAAAATAGACCTATCTCAAGTTTAATTAGCTAGTGTTTTGTTTTTAGATTTTAGACAAAGGATGATAAGATATGGAGATGACATTATAAAAATATCAATAGAAGATAGCACATATTCTTAAGCAAACAAAAAAGAGATAGCAAATATGTAATTATTGGTGTTATAGTCCTTCAATGATTTAGTCTCAAAGTTGGAATCAATGTCAAATTTGTTCATTGTCATTTTGATCATGTTTGCCATTTAATGACAGCAATATTTGATTCTTTCGCAAACTCTAGTTATTAGTGTAGATTTTCATTCGGTATATATTTTCCCGTTATAAACAAAAAAATGAAACCGAAATATATAATTTTTTTTTTAAATTTCCATTTAAATAGAAAATCTATCACCTATTCTCCTCAGGGTTACAACACCGATTCCCAGTCTTCTAAAAGTATGCATCCAAAAAGAATTTCTAAAGTACTCAATGAAAGAGTTCAAACCATGTCATGAGATAGGTGGTATAGAGCTTGGATGGAATCTCTTCGATCGCGAGAAAGGAGCAAGTTTGGATCGCAAAATGACTTGTATATCAGATATAAGTGCAGAAGCATGCCTAGACAGGATAGTATGGAGCCTAGAGTTTCGCTCTTTCCATATAGTATGTATAGAGTCTTGGTATGCAAGCTTTAGAATGAGAGCCACATTCTTATCTCTAGTAGGGTTTTTCATCCAACTTATACCATCATCAAACAATCTATAAATTTTTGATAAACAATATAAATTTACAAGTTGATAAAAAAAAACTATAAAGAGAAATTTATCTTGGGCAAATGTACGAGAGGCTATGAGCTGGCCGATGGATGCAAAACTTCGGATGTAGATGCCTATTCGGTAACATATGCTAAAATAAAATCATTCATTTACGTGCTTCCAAACATTATAAATCGAAGTGGCCGGTTGATTTAAGTTGGTATTGGTA